GTTATTTTTTTCTCATAAATAAAGTAGTATAGGCCAAAGCATTCCTACTAATATCACCATTTATACTAAAAGTTAAACCATAATATGAATAATGCTACTCATTTTAGCCTTGAGGTTCTTCTTTAGAACATCATGATACTAAAATGTTTGTTTGGTTCTCAAACAAAGTGTTTTCATCCTAAACTAATAATTACGATCATCCATAATCAAGTATAATTTGTTTTTTTCATAGATTCTTTTTATTATCAAGTACAATTTGTTTTTTTCATAGATTCTATTTATTCATCTTTGTTATATAATACCAACAAAGAATAATAAAAGGCAAATATTAGGGGAAAAAAAGGCAGACATAACACATTAAAACAAAACAAATCATAATAAGAAAAGAAAAGAAAAGAAAAACATGAACCAAAAAGAAACCCTGATTTGTGAGAGAGACCACTAACATAATAAAAAAAAAAAACCATATGATCAAATAATGAATAGAGAAGCAATAATTGAAGACACGGTCAAATGAAACCCAAGGTTACGACATACTAGGTACAAGACAATATTGAAAAGGAAACATAAAAAAGACAACAAAAAAAGGTTAAAAAAAAAAGACATCAATAATACATACTTAGAAGGGGTAACAAACTAAAGGAAGAGTTAAAAGACAACATAGAACATGACCCACAAGTGATTATCCTATGAAAAAAGAGGAAATGGTAAAAACAAGTGGAAAACAACTAAGGAAAAGTACTAAATACTAGAAAAAGAAAATAAACCACTAATGAATGACAATAACAAAATTAATCTATACCATAATTGAACAAACATAAAAAAAAAAAAAAAAAACCAAAGAACTAGACCTTAAACTTTTTAAAAATTGATAAATAAGTATGATCCAAGTGTCAAACATGTGGTTACGTCTTTGAAGATGCTAACTAAGGCAATAAAGAAGCATAAACCCTTTAAAATATGATAATTTTTCTGCAAAAAAAACTAAAAAAAAATTATTAAAGGTCATTGGTCATCAATAAAAGAAAAGAAATGAGTATAATGAAAAGGACAAAAGGAAGCATAGGTCAAAAATAGAACAAAAAGCCTAAGCAAAGCATAAGACATAATAGACATGCAAAAAGTATAGAGAAAACATAAGTAAAATGAGATATACAAGTTAAGATTCAATATATAATGAAAGTAGATGCCAAGTTGCAAAAGCACTTTAGAATTGGTATGAAAAGGCCAAAATAAATTCTAAAATAACTTTAAAAAAACAAAAATACACAAAGTATAAAAATTGACATGAAAAAAGTAGTTTCTCATAGAGAATCATTTTAAAAAGGAAGAAAAAATATAATTAGATATACCAAATACAAATAATATCATGGAAAAAAGGTCTAATACAAGGTCAAGGCCTAATAAAGGGCTTAACCAATATGGAAGATATACAGAAATAAACATGTAGAAAAAAATAGTTATATTAAAAAAAATTATAACTAAAAGGAAAACAATTTAACTCACCTTGTTAGAATTGAACAACAAACCACAACAAGATTTTAGGATATAGGAATGAAAAAGAGAAACATGTTGACCTTTTATATAAAACTTGGCCAATGATCTAGTTACAAATAAATAAGATATCATATCCAATTTAATTAAAATATAAACGAATAATATAGATATAGATATGAGTATTAGTTAATTATTTAAACAAAGATTAATATTGATTATTGTGTTAAAAGAGTAGTCTAGATAGTGATTTAGTTGTGAATGGTCATTGTATGGATGATGACTTGCCTTTTTTAAAATATAGAGGAAGTAAGTAATGATCATGTCATGTGAATTTTTGTATTGATGTTAAAATTAACTTGATTGTTGTTTGGGAATTGATATGATGTATATCTTGATTTTTCCATTTTTAATGAATATATATGTATAATTGAACATAATAATCCTTGTATTGTCATATTAATTGCAAGCCCATATCACTTAGCTGGACAACACTAATTTAGTTATTAGCTATCATATAGTCTTGTTTAGGTATATATTTATATGTATATGTAAAATTACATGGTTAAAATTGTTTCAACAATCTCATTTTGTTATTTATTATATGATGTATTTATTTTTAACATATTTTGTACATTTACTTCTTTTATAATATATTATGTGTTGTGTGTATAATGAAATTTTAAGTTATGAGATTTACATGAAAGGTTATGAGATACAAAATCTCTTATCAAGTGATAAATTAATGAATTAGTGGTAAGCTTAAGGTTATTGTGTGAACATGAATGGATATATGGATTATTTTTCTATGTAAGATTTTATGAAATGAGATTTTGATAATATTTCAAATAAAGAGAAATTATTCTGGGATTTTATTAAATTAAAAAGATTACTAATAACTCATATTCATAAACGCTAAGTTTAGCAATCATGAACTATTTTTTAAATAAGATCTTTTCAATTGAAAACATCAAGTAATCTTTTAAGTTTCATAAACAACTTCAATTTGAGAGACTTCTTTTATATTTTTCATGTGAAGGATATAAAGATTTTTAATATTATGAACTACATATAACTAGAGAATATATTTCTAAATTAATCTTGATTAGATAATTTATGAATTATTTAAACCAAATTTTCTAAATTAACTTTTACTTTATGGGGTATATCTTACTTTTGATCATAAGTAGCTCTATAACTAGTAAATATTGCTCTTAACTTTATTTTGTGCATGAAAGAAAGGTTATCAAGTATAATTTTTTTTTATGGTAATATATCTTTTTGTTGGCTCCATTAATTCCCATACTCAATTTTATTTTTTCAATTATGATTTTTCTAGGTTGTTTATTTTTTATCACAAAAAATTATAAATTAATTTTGACTTTCATTTCACCTTATTGATTCCAAGTTGATCCATCTTTATTTTCCCCAAGAAATAACTCATATACTAAGCTCTCATACCAATTGGTAAAAGCACTTCACGCTAAGTATTTAACATCTATTCATGGATATTCATCATTCTTTCACAAGCACTGCTCTTATTCGTTGATATTCATTATTCTTGCACAGTCACTTAAAGTTCTGAGTACTTCAACCTTAGTAAGGAGATTATACATTGCAATAAAAAATCTAAATACTAGTTTAATAAGAATTCTCATTAATATTCTAAACTAAAATCATTTTAAAAATCTAAATACTAGTTTAATAAGAATTCTCATTAACATTCTAAACAAAAATCATTTTTTATCTAAAAAACTCTTTTCCAACTAAATTAGAAAATCTTTTTTTTCCTTATCTTAGTATTTTCAATATATATATATAATCAAACTTATTTTATAGAAGAAAATAAAGCCACGCCAATTAAATTGATAAATTATAGAGCACAAAATCTTAATTGTGATTAATAGTCTATAAAATAGATTTAACTTTCATTAATTCACGCCTGCTTGGTGATAGGGGTAAGTAAAAAATCAAAAAAATCGATTAAACCGAGAAAACTGGAAAAGAAATAACCAAAAAAACCGAACCGAAAACAAAAATCAATTAAACCGATTAGAATATTTAGAAAAATATCTGGTTCGATTCGGTTTCCGGTTTTGTAATGCTAAAATCGGACAACCCAAACCAAACCAAATTGGTTCGATTTAGAAATAAAAAAATGTTTTCTACCCATTAACCCTGGCAGATTACAATACATAGCCGCCCCCTCCCTCTAAAACAAGTATAAATAACATATTTTCTTCTAACCCTAAATTTCAACATTCCCCGCAACCAGCCCTCCCCCTGCTCTGTCTCTTACTCTCAAATATGTCTTCTTCTTCTTAAATGGAAAAAATCTCTATTTCAAAAACCTATTATCCTCTGCATCTTTGTCATTCTTACCTATTCCCTCTTGTTGGGCTTTCTTGTCTGAGTGTGTGCTGGCTTTTGTCTTCTTTGCTTTGCTTTTTTTTTTTTTTTTTTGCATCTCTAGTCTCTCCCTGGCTTCAAATCAGTTAGTGATGAATCTTGACTATTAGATTCCATGAGAGAATTCGAATGATTGAACCTAAATTTCATTGACGAATTGGAGGCAATTATACAATAAAGAGAGCCTACTACTAGTTTACTTAAATTAATACTAACACAGCTACCACCAAACATCCCCGCACCCATTTTACTTACCATGAAAGGATTTTTTTAAGATCTCAAAGAAATTAAGATCTAAAAACTTTACACTCTCAACAGGTTCTATATCAATGCTATTGATGCTTTTCTTGTCTCTCATCTCTCAAATATGTATTCTTCTCCTCCATGCTTCTTGATGATTTTATATTTCAATAACTTTTGATTTTCTCTTTTTTTTTTTTGCGGTCAAATCCTTTTGTTTTGTGTATTTTTTTTGCTGGGTTTAACTTCTGGATAAGGAGAAATTGGAGTTGATTTTTTGAAAAATAGAAGCAAGTATAAAAATATCGATTTGAACTGGTTTAGAAGGGAAAAAATCGAACCGAACCGAAATTAATCTGTTTGAACCGGTTTTCGATTGGCTTCGACTCCAAAATTAAAAATAAAATAAAATCAGTTTGATTATTTATTTTGATCCAAAACCAAACCAGACCAAAAATGTTCAGCCCTACTTGGTGGGTAGACCTTGAAGGGGCATTCGCCTTCTCAACTTGTTTCCTTGACTCAATACATATAGAGTGCATCGTTCACGTAAAAGTTTCTGAAATTGTTTACGACAAATGTTACTCTCAGGTGTGTGAATACACGTTCATTTCAGCAGTTTTTGATCGATTCTCATCATCACCAGTCACCACATTAGATAGTGTGAATACACGTTCATTTCAGCAGATTTTGATCGATTCTCATCATCAACATTCACCACATTAGATAGAAGCCATTAAACTCTGATCCAACCTTCTGCTTTTAGACCAGGATATGAGATGGTTCGACCTACATCCTGTTGACAGGACGCAGCAAACATCCCAAGAAGGATAAGACACAAACTAACCAAATAACAATGAGAACGAAAATGCAAAATACAATAAGAAAAAACCCTTGCATACAGATACGTGATTGCAGGAGGAGTGCTCAATTACATTTCATCGACGTAGTACTACATATTTCACATCCCAGGGTGTGTGTGTGTGTGTGTATATATATATATATATAGTTCTTCCATCAGTAGCATACACAAAATAAAAGCGCAGAAACGGAGAAGTAACCCACAAACTATATTGCTATATGATTAGATGATATATATGTCATCGTCACTCCCTTTACTGGTACCAGCCAACAGGGAGGTCAATCAGACACATGATGACTTGGTGTCCAGGAGAGAAGGCTGTTTACATGAGGCAGGTATGAGCCAGATGATAGGTTGCGTTCTTTGTCCATCTCAAACTGCCTCATCACTTCAGATTTAAAGTCATAAGCATGGAATGAGCCATCTTCCTTCCTCCTGAAAATTACATCTCCACTGATTCTTAAACTAAAAATCGGAACCATGTCAATTAAACTACCTTTGGTGATTCTATATTGCTTTGTCCAAATGCCATCATGCACACTCTTCAAGTTCCAAATATCAATGTTCAAGTCTTCATGTGTGACAAAACATAAGAGACCACCCATCTCCATAACCCTGTCATGAGTAGTACAACGGTGGGGCAGAGGTATGCAATGAAATCTTTCATTCTCCACTTCCATTGACACTATGAAATCACTATTATCAAGCTGCGGAAGCCAATGCAGAGCTCCAATTGCAGAAACAGGTGCATGCCCGAACCAATTAAATAGTCCGCATGAAGGTCCGTTCACTGCCCTCCATGATCTTGTCGCTAGATCTAGTGTCTCACAGGTGACATACTCAAACTCATCCCGAAAAAGGTGCACCAACTTATAGTCTCCGGTGACATGATTCAATGCAAAGCCATAGGACTCCTTATGATATTTACACAAAGTACCAAGAGGAAGTGTAATGAGCTTCCGTGTCACAGGATTCATGACTATCAGTCCTTTCTTCACATGGTTATCAAGCAAAATAAGGCCATTGCATGTAGCTCTAATGCTTCCCAGGCAGCTAACATTATACTTCCCTACCTTGATCTTTCCTTCTTTAAATTCCATGAACTGGATAAAGAATTTTGATGAGCTGCCAGTAACATGGGGCCCAAAAATGGGGACAGTTTTTAAGTTCGTTTGAAGCAAAGCTGCTTCAACTGAAAAGGTATTACCTTCTTCCTCTGGCATTGATGTCATAGAAAAAGGGTCTGGTCTTGAATAAGGGCATGATCTTCCTCTTGAGACTGATTCTAGAAAGATCAAAACAGATTCAGAGCGACGGAAATGTGAATCGGTGAAAGTTCGGCTGTTAATTATATTGTACCATGGCTTACACACAAATCTTGAACTTGGAAGTGATTCAAGAGGCAGCCAAATAAGGATATTCATTATGCAATCCTTGTGAAAATAAGGGGCTGGACCAGCTGGCTGCTTCCTTTGATCATCCTCCATCTTCTTCGACAAGGCTCTCTTTTCTACAGATTTTGATAGCCCCATGTTCCTGTTCCCCAATGGTTTGGCCATTCTGCCTGATCCCTTATAATCAATGTATATAATGTGAGAAAATACAGGAATATATAGAAGAATGAACCAAGAAAAAAAAACACTTGTAGAATAAATCCTAAAAAAATACAGCCATTACAACATAATTTATGTACAAATGCAGTTGCTTGGTGTCACAAGTTTATTCTGGGGAGAGGATGATGGCAGATTGAAAGAAGGAATTGGGGGAGTTAATTCAAATTCATATGACCGTTCCACCACCACCCCATGTCGTGTGATTTGGTGTTTATGGATTGTAAAACGTAGCATTTCATTTAGTTGTTTTTTTGTTTGAGGGGGTTTATTATTGTGTTTCAAAAATATTTTTAAAAAAATTTAAATTTTTTTATTTTTTTGTTTTAAATTTATTTTTTATGTTTTCAAATCGTTTGATATGTTAATATCAAATTAATTTAAAAAAATAAAAATATATTATTTTAATATATTTAACATCACTCTTAAACACCCCCTTAGTGACTTGTGGTGTATGCCAAACGTGGTGGCTTAAGAGGCGAGTAGAATGGCATTCTCTCCCTCCCCCTCCCTCCATGACAGCTTACCCTTCACACATTGCTGGAATTCGCTACACCCCATTCCTCTCTTCAAAACACACCTGGAGATTTCCCAGGATGGTTCCATCCAAATTAAGCTTGTTCCACTTGGCGATGTACCAAGTGACTTGGGTAAAATCTCAAGCATACCAGAGATGAAAGGGATTAAAAGAGGGAAAAAAAGGTATTCCTCTTGTGTGGCTTAAATCCCCAATAACACTCTCAAACCACTCAAAAAGAAGAATAAAAAGGACATATAGAGTACTATTTGCATCAAAGGATTGATATAAAAAGGATTAGGTTTTCTTTCAGGAAGACAACAAGATGATCAATATGGTAAATCAACACGAACCATTGGAAAGATATTGAATGATACTCGATCCACAATATCAGCACATACATAAAGTCCCTGTCAAATTTAGCATCGGTCCATCTTCCAATATTGAATGATTAAACAGAAGAATCAATACGTTCTAATCATCAAACAGATGTTATTATGATTAAAATCATAGCTATGTATAGATCAAGAAAGGAAATAAGAACAAGAAAAAAATCAGTTTTGAGAAGAAACAAATGGCAAACAAGAGATCCTAATTCATACCTGGTGATGAAGATAAAGAGGTCGTGTAGGCGGCCCCGTGAGTAGACTCTCTGTCTCCTCGTTTGCTTTTTACTCTTCATTCAGCTGACAAAAACGTTTCGCGGCTTCCAAGGTGAAGGAAAAAACGACAAGAATGGTTGACTTGAATGACTGAGTCTTGGAGGACCACTCACTCGGTCCGTCCGTCAGTATTTTAGAGGACTTTTGAGAAGTCGTTCTTCGAATACTTCGGTATAAAAGAAAAAATTTAAAAACAATTATTTTTTTATTTTAAATTAATACATTATTAATATGTTTAGATATTAGATATCTTGATGTATAAACAATAATTTTTAAAAAATAAAAAATTATTATTTTAATATGTTTTATAATTAAAAATATTTTTAAAAGTAATCGCTATTATATTTTTAAATATCTTTATTATAAATAAAAAATTTTAGTTTTTAAATTTTTATTTTTAATTTTTAAAAAACTAGCACCTTTTTTAAGAAAAAATAGAAAGATTAATTTCTAAAAACGGCAAAGTTTAGAAAAATCATGATTAGAAAAAGATTTGTATACAAGTTTTAAAAATAAAAATTATATTTTTTAATTAAAAAAATATTCAAGGGAAAACATTTTATCTAGATTGGGATTCTTAATTACAATTATTTCTTACTAAGAAAGATTTAATTGGTTTTTTAATAAATTAAAAAAAAAAGCTTTGGTTAAATGCAAAACCTATTTAAAAAACAGTTTATTCTTTTCTACAGTTTAAAAAAAAATGCTTAAGTTTGTTATTTTTGCAGAAACCTTATTTAAAAATCTATTTTTTTATATTTCAAAAAAGTATTTAAAAAGAAAACATTATTGGAAAAGTGTTCTTTTCAACTCTTAGCTATTTTATTTTTCAAAATCTTTTGCTACATGTACTACTTTCTCAAATTCTTTTTGAAAAGGTTCTAGCTTTCAAAAAAAAAACTCTTGAATGTTATATTATTTATAATAATTACCTTGATAAGTAAAAATATTTACTTTCTTTTTTATCTTTTAGTTTTTGAATTTAAACATTGAAACCTTAAAATCATTAAAGAAAAACTTAAATCTTAATAAATATATGAATTAACTCAAGAACACATTAATCATCAAATAAAATAAATAAATAAATAAATAAAATGAATTATTGTTGTTGTTAAGTACTTATTCCGTCAACTTAATTTAATTATTTTTTATATAAAGATAGCAATTTTAAATACATTTTATATATATATATATATATATATATATGTTGATTAAGAAAAATATTGATGAGTCAATTTTATTAAGTTTATATTTATTTTTAAAAAAATGTATGGGTCTGCCATGTATGTTAGACTCAACATACTTAAATTTGATAGTTAATTGAATCTAAAGTGTTTAGACTTTGCATTGCACCAAGTCTAAAGTGGCGTTGATCTGGCACGCATGTCTAACGCAATACGATTAGACTTGGTAGATTAGTCAAGTTCAAGACATTTGGACTTCACAGTGCGCCAAGTTTACGATAGTGTGAGTCTAACACGTATGCTAGACTCAATGCATTTGGACATGGTATTTAGTCTAGTCAAAGACGTTTGGATTTAGTAGTGCGTTCAGTCTAAAATGGTGTGGGTCTGCATGAACGTTAAACCTAATACACTTGAACTTGGTAGTAAGTTGAGTCCAAGGTGTTTGGGCTTAGTAATGTGCCAAGCCCAAGATAGCGTGGGTTTGGAACATATATTAGACCCAAGACATTTAGATTTGGCAGTTAGTCCAATCCAAAATAATTATCAAGGCATTTGGACTTAACAGCGCATCAAGTCCAAAGTAGCGGAGGCCTAGCATGCATACCAAACACAATAAACATGGATGTTGGCCATGTCCAAGGTAGTGTGTGTCTAGCACACATGCCAAACCCAATACACTTAGAATTGGCAATGCGTTAAGTCTAAGATAGCATGAGTTTGGCACATTTGTCACACCCAATAAACTTGGAATTGACAAATTAGCCAAGTCCAAAATAGTGTAAGTCTGGCATATATGCCACTTAATGCGCTTGGACTTGGCAAATAGCTAAATTTAAGATGCTTAGGCTTGGCAGTGCACCAAGCCCAAGATAGTGTAGGTCTAACACGCATGACGCACTCAATACACTTGGACTTGGTAGTGTGTTAAACCCAAGATAGCGCGAGTCTGACATGCATGCTAGACCCAAAGAGTTTGGACTTGACAGTCAGCCAAGTCCATGATAATTACCAAGGTGCTTAGACTTGGCAAGTAGCCTGGTTTAAAGCACTTAGACTTGGTAGTGTGCCAAGTGCAAGGTGGCGTGGGTCTGGCACCCCTGTTAGACCCAATACACTTGCACTTAGCAATTAGCCAAATCCAAGATGGCGTGAGCCTGACACTATTGCTGACAAGATTAAAAGATTGATGTCTTATCCCAAGTGTAGGAGTATCGAAGTAAAAAATAACTCAATAAGACTAAAGTCAAACTACAAAGAGGTGACTATATAAATTACAAATAATATATATATTTAATAAAACAAAGAGTTTATGAGAATTTTATAGGATATTATTGTAAGAATTAAATAAGGATAAAACAATTATCACTGTTAAAGGATTCACTAATGATATTTCAAAAAAGTATAGTATATATTCTTTTTATTACTTAACTAGAAATCACACACAAAGAAGATTTCAATCAGATTATAAATTATTAACATGATTATATTAGTTATTTTATTTGAATAATATTAATACTTATAAATATTGTCAGGTATTCATAATGTTAATTTATGTTAAGAACAAATCAAGTTTCTTTCGTAGCACAAGTATCGGTTAAATCATACAGTAGGCTATGAAAAGGTCAAGCATTTATTGTACCAAGCGTTATATAATATAAATCTAGATTAATTATTCAACAAGCAAAGTATTAAGAGTGAATAAGATAACAAATACAAAATATGTTAGCATCAAACATTAAAGTTCATATTGAGTTCATATTATACTTATTCTTACACCATTAGTATAACATTTCTACCTTGATATAATAAACTTAACTAAACATAATGAAAAAGAGAAACATAAATAAACAAGATAAGAATATAAATAAGATATAAGTTAACTAAGTAAAGGAAAGAAAATAAAAGGCATAAATAAGATATTAATATAACATAAAATAAAACTTGAATATTATAAAATACAAAGAAAAAAGCCAAGAATATGATCTTAATCTGAAAACCAAGATGTCTAAATACATGACAAATGCCTCCTTTTATAGGCTCATTTATAGGCCTAAATTTAGAAATATTGATTTGATGACTAATTGTTGAGTGGGTGGCCACCTCTTAACTTTGTAATAATTCTTATCTTCTTATCTGTAGAAAATGTTATTGCTAACATCAGAATTTGAATAAATAGTCTTCATGAAAGTTCTAGAAAGTTATCTTAGTTTTCTAACAAAATAAGAATGAGGTCATTTAGACTTTAAGAACTCAATTTATTGGCTGAATACTGAACAGTATCTGGATTGCAGGATAGATTCTAACTTGTCTATTATTGCTACAATTTGAACTTGAAAACGATCCTTTTGAATATTGGACCCTTATGAAAGTTTTAGGTCTATGTACTAGCTTTCTATTTATATAAATCAGGCCTAAATTCAAGTTCTACAACTCCAGTTATGATCCAATAACCGAATGTTGTTCACATTTGAATTTAACCAGCATCTCTTTTCTAAGCTCAGCCCTCTCTTCGTCTTTTCAATTTCAGTAATTAAACTAATCAATTAATCCTTTGATTTATGTAATAGGTCTGCATTTAAAATAAACATAAGGTATTTTATAGTCAAACTTGTTATTATAAAACATGCTCTAGTTAAAGAGTTATTGATACTTCAAATGTAAAATGATGATATAAATCTTGATAAAAATACACTTTTAAGTACTAATCACTTGCCAAACCCAATATGCTTGGACTTGGCAATTAGTAAGTCCAAGGTAGCATGGGTAAGGCATTTGAACTTGGTAGTATGTCAAGTTCAAGGTGACTTGGGTCTGACACGCATGCCAGACCCAAGACATTTATTCTTAGCAGTCAGCCAAGTTCAAGATAATCATCAAGGTACGTGGGCTTGGCAATGCTCCAAGTTTAAGGTGGTAGACTTGACAGTTAGCCAAGTTCAAGGTGGAATGGGTTTGGCATGCATGTCAAACCCAATATGATTGGATTTAGCAATTAGTCAAGTCTAAGATGCTTGAGCTTGAGCTTGAGAGTGTGCTAAGCCCAAGATAGTATGGACCTCGCACGCATGTCAAATCAAATACGCTTAGACTTGACATTTAGCCGAGTCCAAGGCACTTAGGCTTAGTAGTGTGTCGAGTCCAAGATAACGTGGGTCTAGTGACACGACTAAAAGGTTGATGTCTTCTCCCAAGTGTAGGAGTGTCGAAGTAATAAATAACCCGGCAAGACCGGGGTCGAACCACAGGGAGGTTAATTGTACAAATTAAAAACAACAATTATAAAACAACAATAACAACAACAACAAGAATAATAATAATAATAATAATAATAATAATAATAATAATAATACTACTAGTAGTAGTAGTAGTAGTA